CTCTCATACCAAGAGTAGAGAATTAGTGCTCACTGATCCATAGTGTGGTAGGTATTTACATCTAAGTAGTAGTAGTATTAGTTTGTAGTACTCGTTCTTTGTGGGGCTATAATTTTCTTCATTAAGTCAGCCATGACTCCAGCACATGTGTAAGGTTTATCTACCTAGGTAATCAGATCTGCCATTGTTAATGTTGTTGTTATATTGCATCCGAGGCTCGAAAGATTTCTTTCCTTGAATATCCGCGATAGCTCGGCAGCGGCAACGTGAAATATGCTTCATACTCAGGCGAACGACTATCAATTAATATGCCCGGTCCGAGGTCGTCGTAAATTGCTGCAAAGTGTGAAGCAAAGTAGCAACGCCTGTAACCTCGCTTGGTTAGTTGATGATCTAGTTCCAGTCGATATTGACATTAAGCCTGGACGGTACTAGACCGATTCTCGGCATAGGTTTAACTTCTAGGACTTAGATTGCTCTAGGGATATTTCGTCTATCTATAGCAACTGAACAAGTGGCTGGGTGTCTTGACCTTGAGGTTTAGATTAATTATCTATTAAAGATTGGTTGCGTTATTTATGTTGAGGTATGTATTGATAAGAAGGTTTTATGGCTGCATTTTCTATTTGCACACTGTGATCCTGTAGACTATCAGAATAGAGATACTGCTGCTTAGACTCATACGGCCGAGGATCGGGATGTGCGCAGTATCTCAAACCAAGTACCTCTGGTAGTGACTGGTACAAAATGCCTCTTATTGGCAGTTAGGCAGTATCTGTTACAATTACCTTGGCCTAAAGCTGGTTAAACACATGTCTCAGACCGTTGGGGCGCTAGTTGATCCTATCAGAGAAGAACCAGAAAGAAATCTGCTGCGATTCTTCCGAGTCGTTTCTCCTTCGTAAAGATCAATCCGAGAGAACATATTGATAATATGATTTTCCTTTAAGATTGCAGTCTTGATGGTGAAGACTAGCTCCCGCTAACCAGCAGTATATGGGCGGCAGATGCAGTAGCCGAATGAACTAAGTGTTGACTATGTAAATGCAGCAGCACCGAGACTTCGTGTCTAGTCAGTACTTGGCGAAATATGTCTCTGCTTCCAGCCCAGGATTTGCAACTGATTCATCGAGCCAATAGTATCGATATTCAAGCTGATTTCAAACTGACTCGGTTGAATATATGTGCTTTTTTTTTGTTGTGTGCAATTGTACGCATCTCCGTCCTTGGAAAATTTCGGTATATGTTCGGGAAAACTGGATCTTATGAACTTAATCGCGCCAATGATGTTGATGGCCAGCGGTCTTTTATCCAGATCCGGCAGAGGAGTTGAGTATTTTCTCTCTCTCTTTTTGAGTTTCCATCTTCCACTTGAGTTCGGAACTATTGCTGGTGTCAGGTTTGTGCGATGCCTTTAGAGTTTGAGGCTTTGAGCCTCTTCTCGCGCGGAATTTGTCACCGAGGGCCAGCTATCATGATCATGGCGGCTCGGTGAGGACTGATAGGAAAATACATACAGTCACAGCAACCAGGATTGGCCCGTCAGACCAATCAATGACGATCCATCAAGAATTAGACGAAAGCAAGAAAAGAAAAGAGATTGAAGAAGACTAGAGACGGGATTTGGACCGGAATTTCCGAATATCATGACGGACGGCACGCAGATCGGATCGTCATAGCCCTCAAACACGGGCTTTCTCCGGGATGCGCGCCGTTGACCAGTACTTTAAGAGTTAAGACTGAGGCTAGAGGTGAAATTAATCGTAATGAGCAATCTAATTGGTAACGGAATAAGTGAGAGACGAGAACCTCTGAACGAGCCCAACTGCGAACTCTCAATGCTCTTGGACTCCTAATAATGCCGACTCTCTTGCTCTTTGAAGAGCAGGTTGGACTGAGTCCACTTTTCGACGGTTGCGCGATACTAGAGGAGGCAGTGGATTGCGAGGTATTTCACCGAATGGCTGACTGAAAGAGCTCTGGGTCCAGTCTAAAGATAAGCCCTGTGGGCACCTGGCTCAGCTAAGAGCCTAAGGCTGGATAGGCTGATTTGCCCGAGGAGGTTACAACTTCCATGATTTGATGGATTCTAATCTTCTCCATCAGCTCCATGCCCATCGATGTTCAGAATTTCTTCCCCCAAACCAAAAGCAATAACCTGAAAGCCACTGTCCGGCCGAAACAGAAGTGGAAAATGGATCCTCGATGGTCAGTGGCTTGATTTGAATCAACATTCACTTGGGTCATGTCATGGTGAAACTGTCCTCCTACGCTCTGAGTCTTGTGGCTTTTCCACGTACCACGGCCTGCGTCTTCCATAGATGATTTGGAGGCACAGGTCACAGCTATTGTGCCGACGGTGGAAAGGTGCATAGATCGTAAGTTGCAATAATGAAGAGGAACAGTTTAACTGCCGTTCCCTGAGCAAAAGACAGTCCGGCATGGTAAAGACAAGTCGGCAAGTAAGAACAAAGTTATTTTCAAATGCCGTTCCGAGGGAACAGGCACGTACCCAAGTTCCACCTCTGCTGGATCGGAGATGTTGCTTACTTGGGCTGATGAAGAATGGGACATAGTAATTAAGATTGCGCGATCATTCGCATCCCGTGAGTGGAAGGATATTGTCCGATGACTCCTGCTTATGCTATTTAGACTGTAGTTGTAATCTCAATAACTAAGGTACCTTAACAAGGACGAGCGTATCACAATAAGCCATGTAGAAATGCGTACCGATTACAGATTCAAGGTACAGCAACAACACGACCTTACGTAGGTAGTCATTAATGTCATGTACTATCTATACTCCGTATTTGAATATTGCATGATCAAGATCAGCAAATCAAGTACACTTCTTATCTCATCTTGACTGCTATTCTACCCTATCGACATGCTTGAGAAAGCATCAGTCTGACCTACCTGCCAACACGCCTCCTTGTTCCAATTGAAATTCAAAATCGGGATGATATTTGGGATGGGAAGTAGTCGAACATCAAGTCGATTGTTTTTCAAGGACTACCTACAAGTATCCAGTGATCTACCAAGTATGGAGGTATTTGTGTCAACAAACGAGGATACCTTGACTAACAGAAATGATAATCGGAATAATCATCATTTATTATTATCACTATTAGTTGGACAGGACACCAGCTTGACCGTTGTATTGTTCCTGGTTTAACGACAATAATACTGAGAATATTCTCAAATCACTAACAGAAACAGAGATATACTTCCCTCATCACTCTGTAGTGTGCCTGAACTGATGTACCACAACAATTGTTGCCCCCCCCTCTTCCTGAACTGCGTACCCATTCCCTCTCTTCCTCTTCTGACCACTTCTCTGACACTCTTTCCATCCTATAAACTGTCTGGATTTTTTTTTTGTTTCCTCTATTCTCGATTCTCTTTTCACCTTCCTCAACTCTTCCCTATTCTTCCGCGTTCATTTTCTCGGTGACTTTCCCTCCAAACACCCCTCCGCCTCCCGTTCGCTTGTCTACTCCGCTCCCCTACCCTGGTCTTCTACAGGGGGACCCTGTACCGGCGCAGCCTTTCGAGCATCAACAGCCAGCCTTCCCGGAGCCACTACACCCCACTACGTCTGCACTCCCTGTAGCAAATCATCCTCTGACTCGTCCCGTCAAGATCTACCACGGAGACGCTATTTCTTGCTACCTAGGGTTCTTTAACTCCTTTCAGTGGTAGTAATCTTCCGACCAACCCCAAGGAAGTCTAGTCACTGAAGGTGCGTATGAGCGGCTCCCGAGACTCAACGGCTTTGGCTCTCTGGGGAGACGTGTAAAGAAAAGAAAAATCACAAGACAAGGAAAGAAAAAGAGGGACAGTCTGACGGGAAATAAAACAGAGAAAAGATAATCAAGAAGAAACACAAGAAAATCCCAACACTCTGGTCATTCCGGCTGCGATCCTCGCTCACTGTCCGGCTTGGACACAGAGTCTACCCTTCCATCAACAAACGACTTTTCTTTCCTTTCATCATTCTTTCTTCCCCTGCTGCTGTGTTGTGTCCTTTTCCCTTTTTTAGAATCCCTGTCGCCAGCTGCAGCTGGGCAACGCTTCTTTCATACTACCCTAATACCCATTACCAAGAAGACCCGTCTCCTGGCCTGACCATTGCTTTCAGAAAGGTGGTCAGGGTATGATTTGAAGCAAGTGATTCTGACCCACAATCCAATATCATCCTCAGCGGCACTGTTGCTCAAAGTTTCCGGACGATCAACGGAGGTTCTGCAGCAACCCTGGCATGGAGGAGTCGTTCGCCAGAGGAAAGTTTCAGGACCGTTTGCACCATGATCATGGCCATCTAGATGCATCCGTTGCCTCGTGCTTCTTCCTGTTCCACCTACCAGCGTGTGTATGCAGGTTTTCCACTTTGAGTTCTCGTGGCGCAGACTCGGTTTGATAATATAGACGCATTGTCAGCGTTGCCTTACTCTGAGAAGTTATTAATTTACACCGTGCAAGCCTCTCTTCGCAGTCAGAGGATCTGGTTCAGTCAATCATTGAGAGGATACTGTGTTTTCTAGTATATGAGAGGGCCATAGAAGCTGTCCGGGAGGGTATTTCGAACAGATCTTGTGCCGATTACGCTCCTGACCTCGTTACCGTCTTCTACAACTACTTTCTTTTCCATCAGACATCAAGACGAGCAGCAGGAGGAAGGAGCTGGGTCGAAACGAGTCAAATCTACCCTACCGTCCTCGAATCCAGAGCCAACATTATCATCGTCCTTCTTTCATCCGTTCAAGATCCGTTCCCTTGTCGCTCGCTTATTTGGCTCTGCGTCATCGTCAAACGACTCCATAAATCTATCGAGAATCTATTCTTTCAGGATAGCCAAGATCGAATCTCACAGCCCGCCGGCCCTCTCTCCTTACCTCCACCCCACCCACAGGTTCCCGCGAAATCGACACTGGAGATTTGATGTTATCAGCTGCTCAACGTTAGATTGCCCCGAGATCAGCTTTCCGTTCGTGAACGTCATGTCGACCTACTATGTGGGACCTTTCGGGCGTATGTTACCTATTACCGACCGAGCTTCTCCGGAAAGGGAACCAGAGCGTTCAGCTAACGTGCCAGTACCTGGAAATCATCCCTACCAACTTCCACCACCGCGCACATTGGAGTCTCTGCAATTTGGAACAGACCCGTTTCTATCCCAGCGAAACCATGAAGGAAAAGGGAACCCCAGAGTCCGCTCAAACGCTCTTGGACATCAGCCAATCGTGAACGAACAGCTCCCTTCCGTCAGCGAGCTGTTGACCCCATCCTCTCGCTCAAGCCAATCGGGGTCACCCCATCGCTCACGGCTGTTCAGTTTCTACCATCCTACTGGCGACAGCCGTGAGGTCGGTCAGAGTCGCCATACGGCAACCCATCATGATACCGGTCCTGTTCCAAGGACACCTCAAGGGGGTCCTCAAGGGAGACCCGAGGCCCACGCAGACCCCTTCTCGCGGCCGACGACTGGGAATCTGCCTTCTCTCTCTCAAATGTCCATATACACACCCGGAAATGAGGCTCGCATGCATGCGAGCATCCGTACAGATGTCCCACAGCAACTAGCGCACCAATCTCCCTTTACACCCCAGGCTCATGCGTACCCCGATAAGGAAATAAGGGAAGAGAACCCATCGCCAGTGGCTCACGAGATCGGAAGCGCGGCAGCAAATCAACCCCAGACGGCTCAAGTCCGTCCTCATGTGGTCGACGAGCGGTACATAGAGGGTGAAGGCTGGTGTTACATCTACGCTGACGGGTCCCATTGTCCCAAGACCATTGACGGTGTGGCTGTAAACGCCAACTGGGGCGTAACTAAGGCCGGAAAACCGCGGAAAAGATTGGCACAAGCCTGCCTTACCTGCCGGGAGAAGAAGATCAAGTGCCAACCTAATCTCCCAAAATGCGACCAATGTCAGAAGTCGGGAAGGGAGTGCCGGTTCGAGAGCGCGTAAGTGACTAACATAAGACCTTTTGTTGCCCAAGAGAATCTCGATGCTGATGAGATGGCCCTACAGACCACGAGGGAACCGTGCAGCAGCGAAAGCCAACACGCATGTCAACAGATATGACGCGAGAGACACCTCCTCCTCCTTTGCCGGTCATCACCCTTCTAGCTCATCCAACTCGATCTACTCCGTCGTAAGGGCTTCTGAAAGCTCCGCATCCCTCCCTGGCACCAATTCACAGTCGCCAATGTCTGAGGCCTCCATGCTTACACCCCCTGCCATCAACAGTGTCCACGAACCTAGCCTGGAATCGGATCAACTTTACAGAGCGAGACGACAGAGCCTCGGCAGGCCATCTGCCGGCGCTGAGGATCTAAATCGGCGGTCTGTGGAAGGCAACTCAGCCCGTGCTACACCTGATTACACTGAGATCTTGATGGAAATGAGAGATCTGGACCCACACGATCCCCTTGCGCACGAGTGGAACACGGATCCTTATGAAAGCGATGCGGAACTTACAACTCACTATGTTGAAAATTATTTCACTCATGTGAACGACAGCTTGTATTATATATTCCCCCGAAGGCGCTTCCTCTTGTGGTTAAGATCGTGCCATACGAAGTCGCTGGAGGACAACATGCTTCTTTACTCAATGATGACCTTGGGAGCGATTTTCTCGGATCGACCTGACAGACTTGCGGCCATGAAGAGGGCCTCACGCACGGCCCGCTACGCCGTGGAACATAGTCGTCATAACCTCTCTTTGCAGCTCGCACAATCTCGGATTATCATGAGCCTTTGGTATTACGCCATCGGTACTCTAGAGAAGTCCTGGGATGCTGTCGGTGCTGCAGTTCGAACGGTATGTGGATTACGGTACAATGTTGAGTCGGGAGGGGTTATTGTGGATCGAAACCGGGTCTGCGAATATGGCTTGCATCCCCAGGCCCTGATAGAATGTCGTCGTAGGACATTCTGGGTCGCCTTTTTGATGGATGTGAGTGCTCTTCCCCTGCCGTCCCAGCAGTTCGATATTGGGAGCCAGCTAACCGTATTTCTTGTCTTTTCCGCCTAGCACCTGTCCTGTTTCTATTCGTCAACTTCAGCTTTCATTCCCTCACAGACAGCTTATATTAGATTGCCTTGTCGCGAAGAAGTTTTCGAGGCTCAGCAATATACGACTGTACCATACTTTCAAAGCTTCCTCAATCAGCCGCCCGCATCAACGGATGATGAGCTCTCCGAATTGAGTGCCATGGCGCTTCTGATAGAAATGGTATCTCTTTGGGGAGAGGTATCGGATCACGTCTTCCGCTTGTCCCTGGTTCCTGTGGAGTCATCCACCACTCCGTTCGAGGATTTTTATGCCACAATCTGCCGGCGTGCAGACGCATGGGTTGCCAGGCTGCCAGAACATTTGAGATTCAGCGCTCTGAATATGGAGCGAAGCGTTCGGGCGAGAAAACCTGATCCGTTTTTCTCGATACATCTGTTATATCATGCAACAATGATGAAACTGAATAGACATGCGCGTGGCCAGGACTTTCGCGCTAAGTTTGTGAGCAGGCATGTTCGCACGGCCAGGACTCATGCGGCGGAGACCCTGCGAATTGCTCTCGCTTTGGCGCATTACGCGGCTGAATATGACGCATCGCAAGTCGTCATAGACTCCGCATCCTCGCAAGCAACTATTCTAAACCCTTTCCTAGGCTATGTGATCCTGTCCGCAGTGGACATCCTTAGTGCGGCCGGGTTGGTAGCTGATATGCCTGAATGCGTCAATCTCATCAGAGGTGGCCTTGAGGCTGTCAAGGAGCTGGGTCGTTTTTGGGAGAGCTCGCTGTCATTAGTGTCTCTCATCGAGACTCGCCTGGAGCCATTGATGGAACTCCTCCACTGCCCGACCGAGCTGGACCGTAAGATGGTGTTTGTTGCGAAGGGTCATTCCCTGGACAGCCGGATTCAGAACCAGCAGAGCCCGATCACCGAAGATCTTTTCTATGGTGCTCTGCCCCACGACAGACTATTCAGCGCGTTGGGGCTGGAAGACGCTTCATGGACAGAATCCAACATACTCTGGATCAGAGAAACAGACTGAAAGAGGTCATTGTGATCCGTTTTCTCGTCGTCCGTGCACCTTGCACCGTTACGACATGTATTAAAAGACACGATTTTTTTTCTTCCTTGTCATCAATACCTGGGTTCCGATTCTACTCGATTTATAAAATGACTATCTTGTGAACGATTTCGATCGCCTATGCCTTGCCAGCTTCAGAAGGCGAGTACCAAATTCATGTTTGAGTGATTTTAAGCGATGACGATGGGATGGAGTGGTTTTGCTGTGCGCATTGATGATGTATACTATTGACGACTCTGATGTCTAATGCTTGATTCAAAGACGTGTTGAATAGTAGCCATGGTTTGCCTTGATCTCTGGGTACGATATCGCGTGGGATTCAATGATTCGTAGATGTGATGATAGCACATTTTCTTCTTAGATGCCTAGACTCAATACAGTAATATGACCTGCAGCCAAGTTTTGCTCTGTCGGCGTCAAAGTTGAGCTATCCATTCAGGCCCATTCATGTGTCAGTGTAGACTTCAACTCTGTGGTAAACGAGATAGTCCGAACGCCACCCGCTACTCTCAGTGAATGTAAGCTTCACACAAGTTGGCATTTCATTTCATTTCATTTCATGATCACCAAACAGGACGCACCAGCATAGTCCTGAGGTTGAGTGAAGGGAGGACGAAAATGTTGATTCACAAAAGCAAAGGCGGAGACGGAGCAACGGCGTCCCGGAAAGCCGTGCACAGTGCACTGTTTTTCTCCCGACGTCATCGAAGCAAAGAAACGAAGGGAAAGGGACATTGCAATCGCGATCGCTCCACGACGACAAGAAGATGGACTGCCGATATTTGATGCGCTAGTGGAATCTGTGCACGCGATACTTACCCAGCTATCAGGATCCGGTTAACCGTTCAGGTGTGCGCTGCGCCGCGCCGGCTACGATGTCCTCTGACGGCGAGTGGGTAGGAGGAGGAGGAGGAGGAGGAGGAGCGGACACCGATGACACGCCCCCCCAGCGGACGAGATACGCCTCCGAGAAATATGGTGATTACAATGAAGACACAGACTATAGCGTGATCATGTCCTACCCCGCCGAAGAAGAAGTCGACTACTACGCCCTGCTAGGCCTTCGCCGGACCCCCGCCCCTAGCGACGCGGAGATCCGCTCCGCGTACCGCAATCTCACACTCAGCTTCCACCCGGATAAACAGCCCGCGGAGCTGCGGGAGGCTGCGGAGCGGCACTTTGCGCGAATCCGGGAGGCGTACGAGACGCTGCTTGACCCGAAGAAGAGGATTGTTTATGACCTTCTTGGGGCGGAGAGGGTGCGGAGGGAGTGGGGGGCTGGCGGGGCGGCGGTGCT